TATTTATTGGAATAAACTTTATATATGTACATTTTTATTGAATATCTGACTTATCTGTGAGGGTCAAGACCACGTCCATCTTGCTGACTATTGTCTTTCTAGATCTGAATATAGAATTGATAGTCAGTTCTGGTGAATTCGTTGTAACCCAGAGGTCCTGGGGTTCTCCATCTTCCAGTAATGATTACATTGCAATTGTTGAGCTCTTTTAGTTGATCCACCGGAATTACAGTCTTGTGCCAGGCTGCCCTCCCCAGGTATTTCTGAAGGTCCCTGAGGAAAGCTTACATGTTTCCCATATATGTTCTAAGGGTCTTCCTCTGGGCTCTTGCTCCTAAGTTTTCTGTGGGACATCTTTTATGCCTTAGCCCTAAACCTTTTTATTGGATACCCAGGAACCTGGAAATAAGAGCAGGAAAATGTATCATAGGAAGGTTATATCCCTGTTATGTTTCATTTTGCTATAGTGAGTCCATCATACCAGCCTCTGGACATCTCTATGAATTCTGATTCTGACATTTTGGTTTTCTCTCCCACCTATATGTAATATTAAAATTTGATCTAGAGACATTAAAACACAACCTTTTTGTGTGTAGTCATTCGATTGGTTAAGAATCTGCCCACACTTAAGTTTATCCACCTCATATTTCTGCATATTGTCCCAAGAGTATCATAAGATAATGTTTTGTTGAACTCGAGATACACTGTAGGTATAGCATTTTCCTCATCTACCTCTCCAGTCACCCTTTCAAAGGAAATGAGCTGAGTGGGGGATGATTTGTTTTTCCTGAATCCATGCATGGGCGGAACAATCTTCACTTCCTTTTGCAAGTGCTCACCAACCATACTTCTACTCATTTGTCCTAGGCTCTTGTCCTCAGTCAATATTAAATTTATTGATCTATAATTTATGGAATTCATCTCTTCCTATTTGTGGAGCCATGTTTGCCTATCTCTAAATTGCAGTATGCATCTTCTTCACTTTCTATGAGATTATAACAGCTACCAGCAGTTGTCTTGCAACCTGAGCTGGAAGTCCTCACAATGCTCTGAGCTGTTATTGATCCAGAGTATGAGATGAAATTACTCAGAGCAGCTAAAGGCTCTTTTGGAATAAACTGCCTTTAGGAGCCTCTCTAGGGTACTCTCTGTCCTTTCTACTCTAGAAATCCTTCTCCTCACAGAAGAGAAGAAGCAAAAGAGGAGCCGAGAAGGTTTAGTTTTCTCTCTATAAAACCATTAACAAAAGGAAAAGTCAGGGCATCCCATCACTCATCCAATAATACCCAAACTCTTTTGCTGTTACAAAGACTTCCACAACTGCCTTTCCAATCTGATGTCCAATTATTTAACTTGAACCCTTTACTTTAGTCAGGTGAGTACCTCACTGCAACTTAAGCATATCTAGACCTTCTGATATGGTTGTTCTGGCTGAGTTTTTTCTCCCAATTTGGAATGCCCTCTATGTCCCCCTAAAGTCCCCGCCCCTGCTTGCCTTGCAATTTTTCTAGCCCCTTTAACCTTTTTTGAAGCCACATGCTAAATTATGCATTTCATTCATTTTATCATAGTTCAGTTTTGTCTTCCTGATAGTATTCACCTCAAAGCAGGTATCTTCTATCCCTCCCAGTATGTGAACTAGTACAGGGCCAGGTCTATAGTCTTGACAATCATACTTGCTTTCTATGGAGATTTTTTACAGTGACCAATATCTGGCTTTTAACACCCACCACAAATTTAGACCCCAAGATAGCTTTCTTCAGCTCCCAAAAGGACTAATACAGAAACCAGATAAATCTAGGAATGCAGGCTGGATCCATTCATTCTAGGCACTAATGATTTTTGCAATGGGAAATAAAATCCAAGTATATCTTCAGCCCCCCTCCAAACAAAGAGCTGGGTTTTTTAGCTGAGCTCAAGGCTGGCTGTCAGTAATGGGTCTAAGAACCCTCAAGTTACCCCAGCATAGCACTGACTACAATTTAATTGAAACCCTGCCTGTCTTGGAGGCCACTTCTTCCACCCAGACCTTTCAAAGGTATGAAGATCAACTGTAATCTCTCACTGAAATAGAATTGGAGCTGGGTTTGCTAATAGCACCTTGAGTTATTAGAGGAGAGGCAATGTTTAAATCCTACACAAATAGAGAGCCTCTTAATTTGGAGAGCGTGCGCGCGCACGCGTGCGCGCGCACACACACACACACACACACACACACACACCAGAAGAGAGGAGGTCCAGTTTGGTAATATCTGAGATGGAGCAATCAAAGGATTATAAACACCAAGACTCTGAATTGACCTAAAAAGGTCATGTCATTCAGCCCTCTGGTTTCAGGAAGATGAATGCCAGTATTTTCCTTAGTAGTAGTCTTTCATTCAATTTGCAACTGTTTTGGAGAACTTACTGAGTGCCGTGATCACCTCATATCCATATAAATTTTTTTTTCCTTGTATCTAACAATCTTTCCCCCTCTATCATTGTCAGAGGAAATGGCAGCTTTGTCCTTATTTAGGAGTTAACTTTTTAAAGATATAACACACTTGTCACATAGTAGGTGCTCTACAATTATTTAATGTTTCCTTATCATGTTTCCCCTTTCTAAATTAAAAAACAACACGCTAGTCTTTTGGCACATTGTTTTTGCTCTTCTCCAGACCCTCTCCAGCTTTTCCACATATGCTGAAAATGTGTTGACCAAGGGCAGACACATTAATGTTTTAAAAGGCATAACCAATGCTAGGCAGAGAAAAAAAAAAAGTTGAGGACCATGGGAAAGGTCACATATTTCTGGACTGCACTCCATGTCTGTTTCTAACACTGACTGTGACATTGGACTTTTCTGGGCCCATTTTCCCAACTGTAAAATAAGTTTGTTGGACCAGATGACTCTGAGGATACTTCTAATTCTAAAACTCAGAGCCTGATTACCTCCCAGCCACTTCATGCAATATTTGTGTTATTATATGCTAGTGTGCATGTTAGTTTGGGAAAGAAGAGAGGAAGGAAAAAAGGGAGAGAGTAGAAACAAATTCTACACTATGAACTCATTCAGCTATGACCCACCCTGACACTTTGTTTCCAGTCTTTCTTTCTTTCTTTCTTTCTTTCTTTCTTTCTTTCTTTCTTTCTTTCTTTCTTTCTTTCTTTCTTTCTTTCTTTCTTTCTAACTATACTGTGTCAAGTCAATAATTGCTCATCTCTCTTTTGGTCCTTATTCTACCTTGTGTTCATCTCCTCTGTTGTGTTGATTCATCTCCCTCATTTTTGTCAGGGTCACTTAGAAGAATTACCTATATTCTTTGTTTCTGAGGTATCAGCAACCCCACCCAACTGTCACACTTGATGAGCTGGTTCAGCCCTTCAAGTCATTGAGAATAATATGAAATACTATAATTCTAACCCTGTAGAACCTCGTTGAATTTGTCCCCCAAGGTTGATAGGGAGCCACTGATGATAATCCTGGAGAGAAACTGCTCCCAGGGCCCCAATAAACTTCTCTAATTCCAATTAACAGAATAGGACACAAGCATCTCTGGGGAGTGGAGGGCCCTTACTCTGTCAGTCACCCAAGGCAAGAGAGTCTACAGACCTGATGCCTCACTGGATTCAGATAAGTGTAAGAATTTCAACATGTTAGAGGTCAAACCTCCTCCTAGTCCCCAGTCCAGGATGAGGGCAGGGTGGTGGCCCTGGTGGTAGTTGGCAGCACTGGTGGAGACGGCAGCAGCATGATGGCATGCAGAGGAGAAAGAAGTGTTATTTTTTCTATTTCATTAGGAGGCCCTGAGGCACTAAAAGAAGGCTTCAGCAGCAGGAACCCATTGCCCTGGGGGGTGGGGACAGCAGCTTGATGAAGACTGGAGAGGCCTTCATGCGGGTCCAGCAGAGCACAGCCCAGACATGTATCAGCTTAAAGGCACAGGAGGCAGAGAGCTGCTGTGATTCCTAGCCTGCAGAGGCACCCAGCTGGGAGGTCTGTTGGGGCAAGGCCTGTGCAAGGGAGGCAAACTGGGAGTGCTAACTGGATTTTTTATTTTTATAACAAGACACTGTGTTTAAAATTTTACAAAGGACAAACTCCATGGGTTTCTGTTAGTGTTTTAAGAACTTTTCTTAAAAAAAAAAAAAGCCAACAACAACAAAAAACACTGCCTTTTTGAAAGAGAAATGACAGACACAAGAGACAGTAAATAAAATGGGGTAAATTTCTGATGGCATTACCCCGAGGACAGAGGCATGAACTCCACAGAACCTCATTCTCCAAATCTACTCTGCAGTCTGCAGCCCTTCACGGGGACACAGAGATGGCTGGAGAGTTTTCCCTATGGCCCTCCAGCCCCATCCAGTGATAGCCCCTTCTTCCTTCCAACCTGTGGTCTTATTCAAATCTGTTTCTTTCTTGGGGGTCCTCTTCCTTGGTTGGACCCTGTGATCACTGGAGCCAGAAAGACCTGGGGCTGGGGCCCTCCCTTCTGGAGCTTCTTTGCACTCACAGGTTGGAGAAGGATTTGTTCCATTTTTTTTAAAATCAACAAAAACAAGATCAGAAAAAAAAGATCGAGTCTAGGGGAGAAAGAGCTACTCTGCTCTTTACAGCTCCCAAGTCTGGAGTTGGTTGGTGGTGCGGTTCCAAGAGAGGCGGAGGGCGAGCACCAAGGGGGTGTCCAGCTGGTGCCTTCAGGCCCCCAGGAGTGTCTGTGGTCAGGCTCAAGGAGCTGGCTTCAGCTGCTGTCCCATGGGTCCTCAGTTTCCCAAGGACTCAATTGCGTCCCCATTTGGAGGGCTTGTTTAGGTTTACTTCCTTATTTGTGTTTTTGTACATGCGGGTGCATGTCCACATCTATCTATGTTTGTGCAGGTGGGTCTGCTGTTGGGCGTGGGTGCGTGCGTATACATATATATCTGTATGTGTCTCTGTGTGTGTGTCTGTGTGTGCATGTGTGTGCGTGGATCTGGGAGGAAGGGAGCCAGGAGATAGGCTGTGCTCTGGGCTGGAGCTATACCCGGGTAGTGGAGTGTGAGTGGGGCAGCCCAGTACTGTTGAACCCTGCGGCAAAGGTGTTATAGGGGTGCAATGTCTGCAGCCCTACCAGGGAGTTGGGAATCATAGTGATGGTGTTGGGGGTCATGAGTGGGATGTCATCAGGGGAGCGCCGCAGGGTCAGAGTGTAGTCGGGCAGCGCAGTGAGGCGCAGTGTGTCATGTGGGGGACCGGCCTCACACTCATGGTGGGTGGGGCCCAGCTGTAATGCTGCCAGCTCCTCTTCAGGAGCAGCTCCCAATTCAGCAGCCCCAGCTCCCCTCTGAGGGCTAGGCTGCCGCAGGGGTTCCTGACGTCGTTTGTCCTTACGGTAGTAGAGGGCAGCGAAGGCCAGAACATTAAGGAACAGAAGGGAGGCCCCCACAGCGATGGTGACACTTAATTCAGTGGAGTAGTCACGAGGGTTCTCCACCAAGAGTGGCCCTGCATTCTGATCCCCATTCCAGGACCCTTGGGCATTCTCATTGCTATAGGCAGGGGAGATGGCTGGCCGCTTGGTGCTCCAGGTCTTACCGTTGGGCCTTCGGGTGATGTGGGAGCTGTGGGTGGTATCCAAGGGTGGCACTTTGGTGGTTGTGGACGTATAGTGGAACATATCATGCAGGTTGTATAGGTGGGGCACCAGGTGTTTCCAAAAAGCCACCTTAGTGGCCCGGTAATGATCTCGAACCCTCGGCTTCAGCCCGATGTGAAGGTAAAGCTGGTCTCGGGGATTGTATTTGGACCAGGCCACTTCCTCAAAGCGGTTGGCCTTGGTGTGAATAAACTTGGTGTCCTGGGGGACCGGCTTGTTGGGATCCCTGAAATACCACATGAAAATCTGGGGTCACCAATCTACCTAGATGAAGAAAGGTCCCAGTTTTCTTCCTCTCACACCCATCCCTAAGAACCTCCTCTCCAGTCTAAAACTTCCCACTATTTCCATCTTTTTCAGGGTCCCTCCCTTTGCCCATACTCCTCTTCCCCAGCCTTGAACTCCTATTGCCCACAGCATCATGGAATAATCTCATCCTTCTCTGTGCCCCGTGGTTGGCAAACTGCGGCTCGTGAGCCACATGCGGCTCTTTGGCCCCTTGAGTGTGGCTCTTCCACAAAATACCACGGCCTGGGTGAGTCTATTTTGAACAAGTGGCATTAGAAGAAGTTTAAGTTTAAAAAATTTGACTCTCAAAAGAAATTTCAATAGTTGTACTGTTGAGATTTGGCTCTGTTGACTAATGAGTTTGCTGACCACTGCCTATGCCCATCCTGTAAGATTATGCTATGCCACTTTTCCTTTTCACATGCTACTGAGCATCCATCAATCTTTTCAGCTGTCCAATTTTCGGAAGAGTCTTTAAAGGCTCTTTCTGAATGTACTTTACTCCTACTTCACACAGCCTCCGGCCATTTAACCTTGCATCCCATAGTTTAGTCAATGACTCTCATTCCTGCTCAGTACTAATGTTAACTGAGCTGTGAGCCTAAGCAAAAATGTTAAGGAAAGGAAATGGCATGAAAGACTCAAAAGAAGAAAGTACGGAGGGTTGTGTGTGAAAGGGTTACCAAGCAAGACTTGGAGAATACTTTAGGAAGAGAGATGATGGAAGTGGTTTAGATAAAGCAGAGGGAAAGGCATGCTGGGGTCCCAAAAAAGAACCCCCACGTTCTCCTTACCCGGTCTTGGCAAAGTTGGTCCAGTAGGTCATGACAACAGCACTGAGCATAACGTCATTCTTGGAGAAATTGCAGGGGAAGAGGTCAGTGGGGCCCACCATAGGGACACCGAAAACATAGGGTACTTCGTCCCCATGAGCTGCATCTGACCAAGCAGGCTTCATGAGGCTCTGGCAGTGATGGTAGAAGGCGTAGAAGTAGGTAGGTGAACCATAGCGGGCGTGCAGATCAGCTGTCACCACTGAGGGCTCCACCCACTGGTGGTCAGTGAAGAGTGCCACCAGTGTTTTACGGCGGGTCTCAGGGTTGTCACGGTCTGCCCAGTCTGTGTACATAAACTTGATGGTCTCCCGCAGGGTATCCTTACCCTCAGGATATCCATATAGATTGTCCACAAAGTTGGAGACGGAGTAGTCAAAGTCAGTGCCAGAGACACCATCCTCAGGGTCCACCACCCCTTCCACAAACTTGAGCCCCTCGCCCTGGTTGACACCTAACATGATGTCATAATTGAGGAACTCACCCTGTTCCATGAGAATCTCAGGGTCATCAGGAATGACATCACCATCAATCACAGGGCCAAAGGCCACATGGTAGCGGGCTGGCTGGATGTCCTGTTCTACTAGCTCCTTGGCACTCTTTTGCCGAAGACAGTCCACCATATCCACTGTGTCTAGCACATTACAGCCCACTTTGTCTGCCAGGAGGCTGGTATACTTTACTGGTTGGTAGTTCACAGCCCAGCTGGATAGAGCAGAACCACTTTGGATGATGGCCCTCTGAAAAAGCCCTAGAGAAGATAGGCAACACCAGGTCAGATCTGTCTTGTCACCCACAGCCCAGGCCTCTCTTGCCTGTCTCTGAGGGACAAATCAAACATCTCCTCATTCCTTTGTCATTGAGGATGCCCTATGGATTGAATGGGCTAGAAAAGAGGAAAAATCCTTTGGGCTGGGATGATTGGTGAGGACCAGAGGAGAGGCTGCTGGGTCCCTTCCCTGACTGCTTCTTGCTTCCTTGTCCTGGGCAATGGTTGGTAACTTGGGAGTTAAGGACATGCCAGGAAGAATTAACCCCTTGGGTCCCAGACATCAGCTTCCTTATGTTCTTTCTTTTTATCTCTCCTTGTCTTCCACTCATGCTTCCTGCCCAGCTGGGCCCAGTTCTGTGCCAGCGCACCACCAGGGAGCTGGCGCTTCCACCACAAAGGGGTCTTTTTCATGAGAGATGAGAAATGCAAGCAGGAGAGAGCCTCACATCCTGGGAGTTTGGGGAAGGATTTCGAGGGCAAAGGTCTTGGGATCTTAAAGTCTCCAGGGAATGTGCCCTCCCAGACCATAGTGTTCATAGAGACTTTCCTTTTCTTAAAGCTACTAAGGCCTCAGATCCAGATTTTCCCCCGAGTTGGTAGGGAGCCAGTCCCCCAAACTAAAAAATAAATGATTCTTTCCTAAAAAGGGGGGTGGGTATAATTCTCTCCCTGACCCCAACACTGCCAAAGTATAATCTGGTCCTCGGGCACACAGTTCCATTCCTCTAAAACTGTGGTCGGCAAACTGCGACTCGCGAGCCACATGCGGCTCTTTGGCCCCTTGAGTGTGGCTCTTCCACAAAATACCACGGCCTAGGCGAGTCTATTTTGAAGGAGTGGCATTAGAAGAAGTTTAAGTTTAAAAAATCTGACTCTCAAAAGATATTTCAATAGTTGTACTGTTGAGATTTGGCTCTGTTGACTAATGAGTTTGCCGACCACTGCTCAAAGAGAAAGACAGTTTGCATGGGCAGAAAGAGGGGAAGAGAAATACAGATGACAACTTCAGAGACAGCCTCACTTTTCAAAAGATTATTCTTCATGAGTCAATTACAAAAAGGCAGAGAGGACAAATCTTTAAAGAAGCCAGACCTCCAGGGACACCGGCCTGCTAGGAGACAGAGAATAGCACCACTCTGAGGAAGGATTTCTCCTCCCTGTGAAAAAGTCCCCAACCACAGGAGATACTGTTCGTTCCTCTTTTCAGACAGAGGCACCCTCACAGCCAGTCACTTCACCCATTTTTGTGGAAAAGGGACTCCTGATCCAATTATAACCACCCAGAAACACATTCTAAGGTAGGATGCAGATCCCAGCTTAGACTTCCCTCACCAGGGTAGTTCCTAGAGGGATAGAGGATTTCTAGGTCTCTCAGAGCAGGTGATTTTTCTCTCTCAGAGAGATAGGCCTTCTTCAAAGAGAGACTGAAAGTCTTATGAGAATATCACTAACTCATGGGATTGATTTCAATGGAAAAAAAAAATCTTCTCTCACCCTAACCGGTTTGGCTCAGTGGAAAGAGCATAGGCCTGTGGACTGAAGGGTCCCAGGTTCGATTCTGGTCAAGGGCATGTGCCTTGGTTGCAGGCACATCCCCAGTAGGGGGTGTGCAGGAGGCAGCTGGATCAGTGTCTCTCTCATCGATGTTTCTAACTCTATCCCTCTCCTTTCCTCTCTGTAAAAAAATCTAATATATATATATATATATATATATATATATATATATATATATATATATAAAGTCTTCTATCACAGATTTCCTTACTTCAGAGAAAGGCACCTTTGCCTCTCAGAGATAGACTGTGCTATAGCCCAGAGGTGATGAGAACATTTTCTGTGAGAACAAAAGGGCCTATTCAGCCCCCTTGGAAGAGTTACTGGAAGAGGGACACACAGCAAGGAGAGAGGCTTTCCTTGTGGCTAAAATGAGAGTTTCCCTTAGCAGGGCTGTACAGCCTGCAAGGAGGTCCGAGTCTGATGATAGGTTTCTACCCTCAGAAAAAGCCTGCCCTGCAGGTTAGCAGTTCTTACCTGGGACCTATCTCCCCCCTCAGGGACAGATCCCTTCTTGTATAGACTTGTTCGTCAGAAAGAAAACCAGAGAATGAGTATTTCTTACACCTAAAAACTAATTTCCACCCTAGAGCTCTACCTTGAAATCATGTGTCCTTCCCTAACTGAAAGATTCCTTGCCTCAAAAAGAACTATTGTCCTTTCAGAGAGAGGCAATGGTTCCTACTCACTCAAATAAGATTCCGATGTCAAAGGGGATGTAAATGGGATTCCTTTTTCAAGCTGTAAGTGGGATTATTTCCTCCCCTCTCTCCCATTGGGAGAATCCCATCTTCTAGTGAAACATTTCCCATCAGCTTCTCCCCAAAGGTATACTGAGCTGATAGAAGAGGGTGGGCTGATTCCCTTGGTGCTCCCGGGGCATAGAGCTGGGCACTCTGGTGCAGGGTAGCCAGCACTTTGCTAGTTCATATTTGCCCCCAGAGCTACTCACCCTCAGAATGATGTGACAACGTGAGGAGGCTGACACAGGATGCACCGATGCCTGAGCCAAAGACTGTGATACGACGGGGATCGCCACCGAAGAAGGCAATGTTCTCACTCACCCAGCGGAGCGCCTGAATTTGGTCAAGGAGCCCATAGTTGCCCTTGGCAGCCTGATCTCCAGTGCTCAGGAAACCTGGATTCAACAAAGGACATGAGGACAATGAAGGCGGAGAGATGAAGGACCTGCAGTATGACGGAAGGGGCTGTGAGGACAGAACATGAGCATGCAGCATAGTTCTATCCACCTAGCTAGCATAAAGCAGAGCTCCTTTCTGCAAGGTCCAGCACCATCAGTACAGGAAGGGCTGGCTCCCTGCCTCCCACTCAATCTCCAGTTTGGAAGGAGGGATCTTCAGACCATTATAAGGGGATGCCTCCAGTTGGGAGACTTAACCTGCAGGAACTGCAAATGGCCAGGACCCAGCATTCTCTGCTCTGATGTACTATTCTGGTCATGGGCATAACACCTGGCAATATAGAGTGGAAAAATCAGGGACCCTGGTCTCAAATAGTCCTTGGTTCGAGTCCTGGCTCTATCACTTACTAGTTGTGTAGATTTTGGCAAATTATTTAACATCTCTGGGCTATAGCTTCTTCTTCTGTAAAATGGGGATAAAAAATACTCTTCGTTGTTACAAGGAAAAAAGGAACATAAATAAGCGTAACTAATATGCTCAGCATATTGTAAATCTGTGGTTACTTCTTTTCCCCCTTCCTTCTCTCTCTGAAGAAAGTGAAGATTCTAAGAGGCAACAGCCCCTAAGCTCTCCTCGCCCTTCCTGTACAAGTTAGTCCATCTCCACTTCTTTCCAGGGCCTCAGATGTTCCCTTCCCCTCATTCTCAGGACAGGTCTTCATTCCATTCTTCTAATGAATCAGAAACTCTGGGGATGGGATCCATCAATCAGCATTTTTAACACACTCTCCTGGTGATTCTGATGCCTGCTAAAGTTGAAAAACCACTGGGTTAGACCATTTTTTTCATCTGGTGGAGAAATCAGGGAGTCAGTGCAGTGTATTACCACAGAAACAGGTCTTCCCGCCCACCCAGTAGAATTTGCTGCCAGGAGACATGTCACCATGGAAACTACCTTCCCACCCACCTGCTGGGATTTGCTGTTGTGGTTACTTGTTGCCATGGAGACTACCTTCCCACCCACCTGCTGGCTATTCCACAGAAATGTCCTATATCTTCCCCCCTCCCACGTCTTCATTTCAGATAGATTCTGCTGCCTCATTTCATCCCTCTTCCTGATCTCTAGGCTCCTTGGGGCTCTATCTTCTCCCATCCTAGACTTTCAGAAGGGTTCTTTCCAGGTGGAACTTGTGGAGCTCCTACATATTGGAAACCCATACTTGGATCAGCATTTCTTAAAAATGTTTTTATTGATTTTTAGTGACAGAGGAAGGGAGGGGGAGAAGGGGGAGAGAAATAGAAACATCGATGAGTGAGAAACATAATCGATCAGCTGCCTCCTGCACACCCCATATTGGGGATCCAGCCTGCAACCTGAACATATGCCTTGACCCGGAATCAAACCAGTGACCTCTTGGTGCATGGGATTACACTGAACTACTGAGGAACACTGGCCAGGCTGAGTTAGTATTTTTTAAACCCCACCATGAAAAGCTCATTTACAGTATCTGGCATCATCTTTATGAGAGGCCATGTTTGAGGAGGTGCCCTCAGCTCACAGAGAGCTCCCAGGCAGTCCTGAAAGTCCATGGGCAGAAGCTGAATTCAAAAGACTCAGTAAGGCACAAGAATTCCTCAGCGTCTTTCTCAAGTCCTTCTGTCTCTAGCTTCTGCAAGAGAGCTCATTTCACCCTCTTCAAGTTATTAATTTACCTTTGGTACAATTAAGTATGTAAAGTACTTAGTTATTCCTCGCAGGACCTAATCACAAGCCCTCTTCAGCCCCAGGTTCCTGATGAGGAGATGAGAAGGAATTAGAGAAAGCCTGGACGAGGATAAACGGAGGAGAGTGCTTGTTCCTCTAGACAAGGGGACCAGCTCCTCCTTTGCCAGGCCCATTCACAAACTGAAGCTGCTCCTGCGAGTCTTAAGAAGTATGCTGACCAAGATTTAACCCAGCTATCCAAACCTTGAGACCCTCTGGCAAAAATCACTATGTACTTCTCTTAGCCTGCTTGTCTTCTGCCCCTCCTTTCCCCCAATTCTCTTTCCCATTTCTCTCATTTGGGCAACAGCAGATTTGGCCTTAGCCTTTGTCGAGGAAGGTATCATTCAGTGAAATGTGTCAAATACATCTGTCCTGATCATTAGGAAGAGCCTGCATTTGGATGAAGTAAAGTAGATTGCTCCAGCATGTACCACTTTCCTGGGTTAGGAACAAAGGACTGAAAGGGCTGGGTGGAAGGTTTGACCATCACTCTTGGCTCCTTGGGATCCCAAGAAACTTGGGATAAAAAGATCTGCAGCATGTGGATGATGCCATGCCAGCCAGCCATCCTTACTACAAGAGTCCTGCTTTAAGTGATATATCCAACAGGCTCAGTAAGATGATAAAGCAAACATGACCCAAAACCTGGCAGTCTGGGAGAGCAGTCACTCACTACTAGCTCCCCCGTAACTCAGCCATCCATGTAAAGCATGTGAAAATGAGGGTTAAAATACCAAACTCCACACACTTTAAAAATAAACCTGAGCCAGTCTCCCTGGGACCAAGTTTGTGCTGCAGTACATGGTAAATTGCTTGACAACAGAAGACAGGATATTCTGGCACCAATGATATCAAAACCAGATATCCATGTCACTCAAGGCTTGATATTTACCAGGTTTTCAGTTTGCCTGAAGGGTACCTGGGCAAGGGTACCCAGAATTTAACTTGGCAAGTCCATACTTACTCAGACCCAGGGATAACAGCGTCTTATATCCTGCTGGGGTCCCTTTTTTTTGTTGGTCTCAAGCCCAGTGAGGGCTTCTCAAATAACTACCATTCTGCCTTGGACTTTATCCAATTACATGAACCCAAGATGTCTAAAGAAGCACCTTAGAGTGAACTGTTTGTGCTCAGTGCTCCAGAGAAGCAGATGGGAAGGGTAAATGAATACATATACAGCAGGTCCTAAAATAACTTCGTCTCCTTCGACATATTTTCATTATAACATTGATAAGATGCCATAGGAATTTAACTCTTTTTTTGTATCAATTAGCTTAAGGTTGAAATTGGTATCGTTATACATTGTTTCACTTAAAGTCACAGAATCTATTGATAATGTTAAGCGAGGACTTACTATAATTGTGGTTCAAAACTGGCCACCTGTTCTGGGATGCTTTGGGAAACAAAACAACAAAGCCTCAGCTACACTGAGGAAAATCCCCAAGTGGCAAGGACAAACGCATGCTCTACAACTGGCACCAAGAAGCAAAACATCTTGTATGTACCCAGAATCCAGTCAGTGGCTTTACTGATAACATTTGTGTTTCCTAGCAGGCACTGAAGAATACACAGGAAGCAGTAAAGAACTTCTGACCAAATCTTAGTTTATGGCTCCTTCTGAGGTTTGAGTAATATTAGTTTGATCAGTAATTGCTTAAGCCCAAAGAATAATATTTCTGCCCACATATATGCTGTTCTTGTTAGCCAAATGATAGGAGATTGTAAAGTGGGAGGTCCTCAACCTGGGTTTCATGTATGAGCTTTAGTGGGATCCATGAAATCATTTGTGTGTGTGTGTGTGTGTGTGTGTGTGTGAGACTGAGAGGTGCTTCATGCAGATGTGGGTATATGAATGTGTATACATTTGTGGGGTTAGCTGGGGAATATGTACAGATGTATGTATTGGATGTATATATGCAAGGTATGTATGGGACATGTGTATCCATGTGGGTATATGAGTAGGAGATCTGTATATAGATGTGCAAGCAGGGATATGATGTGTGTGTGTGTGTGTGTGTGTGTGTGTAATATTTGTATATGTGTGGGGTGGGGAGGTGTGGATGTGTAGGTATCAGTGTTTATGTGTAGGAAGGGGGAATATTGGTTTGTGTTTATGTATGGAAGATGAGGGACATATGTGTGCATGTGGATATTGGATGAATGTGGAAGTGGGGGATATGAGCATGTGTGGAAGAAATATTTACGTACATTTAAGGTATATATGCGTGAGGTTTGTGAGTGGATGTGCAGGATATGGACCTTTGTGTAGAGCATACATATGGATATAGATATGTATGTGGAGGGAACAATATATGGGAATGTGTGTGTATATGTGAATAAGGTGAGAGAAATCTGTGTAGATGTGGGCTAGAGATATGGGATGTATAGGTATATATGGGCAAGTGAACATGTGTGTGTGACAGACTATATGTGTGGAGTGTATATGGAGTGCTGGGGGAATGTGTGTGTATGTGAGGAAGTCTATATATGTGGATGTGGGGGTCTACATGTATATGGACATGTGAGTGTGCTTATGGGGGGATGAATGAGAAATCACCATATGCATGGGGGTGAATGAGACAGTGTGCATGTATGAACATGTGAGGGTATGTGGGTGTGTGGATATGTGATTGCTAGAAGGAATTCCTGTGTATGTGCAGGGTGTTTAGAGATTGTGGGTGAGTAGTGATGAGGATAGGACAAGAGACAATTAATGGGCTCTATAAGACTCAGTCAAGCAAAAGTCTGGAAGCAGAGACCTGGCTTAAGACCTAACAGAAAGTGTGAAGTTTGAATTGAATTTCCAGTAGGAACTAAACATCCAGGAAAGGGCCTGGGGACATAGGGGAGTTCCCATTACTTGGGTAGGGATAATGGAATAACAGCATTTTTACTATGGTCACTAGCACCAGCTAGGAAACCAAGGCCACCTGTTCTTAACTCCCCAGCATTCTTTCCTCCCTCTTTGAGAACCCAGGCTTCCTTATAGACACCTATCAGGGAACCATACCTAGCACCCCAACCCGATAGTTGAGGGTGATGACGATGACGTTGCCATAACTGGCGAGGACGCTGCCATCAATCATGTTGCCTGTCCCTTCCATGTAAGAGCCTCCATGGATGTAGACCATGACGGGCTTAGCACCACTGTCCCGGATGTCTGTAAGAAGAAGGGGTGAGACACAGGCTGGGTAGGATGCCCTTCCTTCCCCACCCCCACCAGCCCTGTGTGGGGGGTGGGTGCAGGTAGCAAAGCTATCCCAGGTGCCAGGACACCACCACCATCTCTGAGGGCAGGACTCATGGGGCTGCTCAGCTTGGAGCTCAAGCATCAGCCAGAGACACTTGGACTTCAGTGATGTTTTTAAAGAATCTGGTTTCAAGTGCCTCCCAGCAGCCCTGATACAGCTAGGCCTAGGTAGGCCTGGAGGCAGGGGAGGGGAAAGCAGAAGAAAGAGAAGGGCTGGTCCCTTGGCTGCATCTAGTGAGTCCTTCCCTGGACACCTGAGTCCTGGGACCTGATATGGCTTTAGAGAACAGGGGCTGGGAGCCCTGGAACCCCCAAAACTAGACCAGTTCCATAGAAATACAGCCATTGGCAGCAGCTTCCCCCCTCCCCCAGTGCAGACAGAGACAAGAGGTGTGGGAAGGGGTAGCACAGGGAGAGAACAAGGAAGAATGTGGGGAAAGGGGAGTGAATGGCAGAGATGGGATAGGGGACCCTTAGTGACATGGTTTCTCAGCCATGTGATCATTTACCCCATTCTCCTAGGACATCAGTCAGATTTATCTGGAGCCACTGGGGAGGTGGAAGAGGAAAGAATAGAACTAAGACTTATAAATCTGGCCCCGGTCAGCATTAGGATGAAGATGGAGCCTCTCAGAGGCTATACAATAAGGGAACTTAAAGTGGTTGCTCCCCAGTCTCAGCAGACAGGGACAGGGATGAGATGGGCATTCAGGAGGAGGCTCCCAGTCTGATCACTTCTACCTGCAGCCTCTCAACACTCAGCCACACCAGCACAGTCCTAGCAGCCACCAAGAGGCCCCCTGAACTGCCTGGCCCCTCCAGGGGTGAGGGGGCAGGGTCACGGAGGTAGAAGGGAAAGCTCTCTGCTGCTGAGCAAACACACCCTGTTTTTCCAAGGAGGAAGAAAGACTGGTTCAACCATCACTCAAGGATCTTATGCCATCTACTAACTGAGCTGTGGTGTCCTGGCCTCAGCCTGGAGCTTTAACTCCCAGTCCTTCTGCTAAGAGAAGCCTCGGGAGGTTCTAGCTGGGGCTATTCTCCATTCCCTTTGGTTGTCACTGCCTCACTCCTCCGTTCAACATCCTGCTGGGCCCCTCTCCCTGGAGCCAGTCTCCCCACAACACAGGCGTCTCTTCATGCTCCCTCAGCCCTGCTTTCTCTCCACTCTCCCTGCTGCTTAGTAGGGGCAGGTGCCCATGAATCACAGAAGATGAGGAGGAAGCTTACTACTATAGAACTGAGAATGGGTGGGGATCCGGGGTGAGGATGCCCCCCCCCCCATGGCTCTGCTTGTCGTACCCTGCTCCCACCAGCATGTCCATCACCCTGGAACTCGCAATGGCCAACCAGGCCAAAGATGGATGAACAGCCTAATGGCCTTGTACAGAAACAGAAACACACCAATGGACGGACAGACAGACAGACGGGGCTTCTCCCCATTGAGAGGGGGAGGGGCTCTGTGCCATGCACCAGCTGCCACGCCCTGCAGCCCCCAAATACCTTCATCTTCATCCCCGTCATTATCCGCTAAGTCCTCGCCCTGTTTCTTAGCGCCGGATCCTGGGGACCAGACACGGGGAGACACAACAGCACAGAACAGAGAACAAAACAGAGAGAGAATTCAAAAACAGCATGACTGCAGTGTGGCCCAGCAAGCCAGCTCTGGGCCTGGGCCCAGGACAGGCAGGACGGATGGCAAGAACTGAGGGAATGGGTGGGCTGAAGCCCAGACTTTCATCAGGAAGATGGTGTTGCAGACCCCTGCTGTGCTGGCCTCTCTGCACCTCCCTGCCCCACCTCCCTGTCCCAACAGCCCATCTCAACCAACTACCTTCCAATTAGGAAGGAGATAGCAGCAGGTGGACCAAGGCACAGAGCCAGAGAGCCACTCAGGGAAGGGGTTTCTCCCATCTGGAAGGGGCTGTGAGTGTACAACCAGGCAGGCTGAGCTGGAGAGCAGGGCAGGCACCAAGTGTGAGAGGCAGCATTGCCAGCATGTGTGGATGTGGATGTGGATGTGAGCTATTTGGGCAGAGAAAGGTACCAGGGACCCCAGCCCTGGGCTCCTTGGGACCAGTGAGCAAGCGCAAGCTGGGCCTCAGCTCATCTTGATTCCCACGGGAGAAAATGGGACATGAAGCTGTCACTCTGGTCTTCATTGTTGGGACCTCCTGCTCTGGTTAATGGCAAATGAGGTTCCTGCTCATAGGAACTAGGCCTGAGAATAGCAAGCTTTGCTCTGAGATCTAGAGAGAGCCTGAGGAGGGAGGGGAGGAAAGAAACCGGGAGAAATCGGGGTAGGGTAGGGAGAGAAGGAGAGGGAGGGAGACAGAAACAGAGAGAGAAGCAGAGGGAGGGAAACACAGACACAGACAGAGAGAAGCAGAGAGAGAAGTAGAGAGAGAAATATAGGGAGGGAGATAGAAACAGAGGGAGGGAAACACAGACACAGACAGAGAGAAGCAGAGAGAGAAGTAGAGAGAAATATAGAGAGGGAGGGAGGGAGGCAGGGAGGGAGGGAGGGAAAGAAAGAAACAGAGAAAGAGAAACCAAGAAACAGAAGCAGAGAGAGAAACAGAGGAAGGGAAGGAGGGAAACAGAGATAGGAATAATGGTAATAATTCCTACTGTGTACTATGTACTGAATATTTATCATGTCAGAGACTTCACTTCTGCCATATAGTTTCATCCTTACACCCCAATGAGGCGGGTACTATCTTTATTCCTGTTTTACTGATGGGGAAACTGGGGTTCAGAGGGGTAAGGTGACTTGCTCAAGATGATATAGCTAGAAAGTGCTAGAGGTGAGATTCAATCCCAGGTCTGCTTCACTCTGGAACCCATGGTCTTTCCACTGCACCATGCCATCTTTTGGGATAGGGGGAAAGGAAGGGAAAATAAATGAGAAAAGAGGTGGAACATGGAGGGGAAGGGAGAGATGGGAAGGAAAGAAAAGAAGAGACCAGAGGAGAGAAAAGAGACATTTAAGACCTGGGGGTAAGCTGGCACCAACTCTTCTTCCTGTTTGGCTGTGGGAAAAGGAGACCTAGTGCCTGGATGCTGGGCAGCGTGTAGAAACAGAGGTCATTCTGCTGGCACCCGGCACTAACTTCTCTAGGACACCAGATACTCTCAGCCTGGAGGCAGCAAATAGCCTTCTTTCTCAGCTGGCCTGGGCTCCGGTGACTGAATTTCCTTACAGCCATTAATCAAAACAGAAACCACCCTCATAATACAAAATGGCTTTTCAACTAGGGCAAGAGCCCAGCTCAAGGGATAGAAACCACCTCCAGCTTCCCAAACTTTCAGTGTGTCTACTGTCTTAATACCTACCATTACTGCCCCACAGAGATCCTGTGGGGATTGGGGCTTCATTATCTACATAGTGGACAGAAAGGACTCACTCATCCCTAAACATGAATTCCCTCCAACTTGATCTGGGTTGGGGTGAAGATGGGGCTGGTCTTACCAGGAAATCCTTTACTTCCCGTGTGCCTTGACTTAGAAGATGCATCCCTCCCCAACTGCTGGGAGTATTCCTGGGTGCTGCACTGTCTCAGCTTCCTCAATCTGCCCTTGCTTCTTCAGCTTTCTGCTTGCTGAGCTATTCCTTGCTGCCATGCTTGCCACCCAGGCCAGCTTAACCACCACCCCCCATCTTGAGGATGGGGGATCCTGGCTACAGGATCCCGGCCAGGTCAGCCCTGCCTACCCTAAGCACACAACCCTAATCACCTCTGTGGATGAGTCTCCTCCAAATGGGCTCTGAATAGGGAACTACTTTGAACAGTTAAATGACTAAAAGACCTCCCCTCCAATTGTCTAAAAATCCACCTCCCAGGTTAACCTGTGGGTCCTGGATAAACCAGCTGAGACTAAATACTAGGCTAGGAGCTTCTTCAGAGTGGCAATCAGAACTTTATTTATTTCTAAATCTTTCCTATGCCTCATTTTTATCTCTACACATCCCAACAAGGCCAACCTAGCACTTGGCCTTGCCCACAGTCAACTATTATGATCAGAATATGTATCTGAATGGAACTATAATCCAGGTCTCCAGTCAAACTTTCAGGACTGGACTGTCTTAGGCCCTTAGTGGTGCTCTGGGGAGGTCATTCATCCTAGGAAATGGTTAATTTTTAGATCATTTCCTCTCCCTCCCACCAAAGTAAGTAACTCAAAGGAGCAAGTTTAAGAGACCCTCTTTGTCTAGTTGGAATGGCTCAGTGATTGAGCATCGACCTATGAACCAGGAGGTCACGGTTCGATTCCCAGTCAGGGCACATGCCCAGGTTGCGGGCTCAATCCCCAGTGTGGGACATGCAGGAGGCAGCTGATCAATGATTCTCTCATCATTGATGTTTCTATCTCCCCCTCCCTCTCTGAAATCAATTATACTAAATCAAATATACTAAAGAGACCCTCTTCTTGAGTTCATCGATAGGCTAATGGAATGTTAAGGACAGTACCAGTCCTCCACACCTACACAAGTGCAAACAGAGGTCCTTAAAGGAAAATATGCCTAAGGTCTCACTGTGACTTAGCAGCAGAGCTGTGACTGGTCAGGCTTTGTGGCTCCCAAACCTGTACTCTTGCTGCAGCACCACAATGCTTCTTCATTCATGAAAAAAAAAAAAGTGTTTACTGATAGCCTACTGCTTATAGGGTCCTGGGCTAGAGTAGAGACATGGTGGAAAACTCCCCTGGAGCAGTACACATGTCCATTGTGGAGGTCCTGGGCTCTGCTCCCTGAGGTTTCTCACTCAGCAGGGAATACCCAGTCCCAGGAATCCTGAAGACCTCACCTGGGGGGAACCTTGCTTCAGGATTTCAAAGAAACACAAATTCCAAGTTTGCAAAAGGGTTGTAGGAATTGGGCTGATTTTCTACCAGTTCTTAGGCTGTTACTGTTTCTAGTTTAGCCCAACCTGTCCACACTTTACCAGTTTTCAGAATCGGGGAGGCGGGAATGACTAGATGGGAGTTGAGTTGGCTCGCGTGCTACAGTGGAAAGAACAAGTCCTAAGGGTCAAGGGACCCAGATTTTGTTCCCAGCTCTGCCACAGACAGTGACGGGATGAGCAGTAAGTCACTTTCCTGGGCCTGTTTTCTCATCCATAAAATTGGGATACCAATTCCCTCCTTAGAAGCTTCCAGAGATATAGGGAAGATTTTATGAGGTAAATATGGAAGTTCTTTACGGAAAACATAAAGTGCTACTCGAACATGAAGAATTGTTATACCGGGGGAACCAATTCCTTCCAGCAAGAGGGTCAATTTAAAACACAGGGTCTCATGCCTCCTTTAGAGTCCATAGTTCCAGGAGGAACCCCCCTCCCCAAGTCTGCCACAAGACCAGCCCAGGTCACTTAGCTATGCTCTGGCCAAAGGTGGGGAGTCGGGTGGCAGGATTCCTAAGCCTTTGCATGAGTTTGGTCTCAGCTTCAGCGCTGGAGAGTTAAGTCTAGACTATCAATCCAGGAAGGAACTCAGAGGGGTGAGCCCATGGGCCCCTAACCAGGAAAAGGCAGTGCCTCTGGTTCCACTTTGACTGCCTTGAGTTCTCCTGAGGTGGCCAGAGAGAACCACTGGCTCTGTCTTTAGCACACACTTAAGGGTGGAATTGAGGCCTGAGAAGATCAGAAGAAACGAGATTGCTGCTTTTGCTCTGAATCTGCCTTAGGCCTCCAAATCCTCCCTGAAAATGTGGCCAGGGCCCTTGGATGAGGTGGAGCTTATGTCTGCTCACCACCTGCCCCCTGAGCCTGGGCTACTTGAAGGAAGGCAGGGTCCTCAGGGGTAAGGGCAGGTGGGCAGGCAGCCCTCCCTCTCTCTCTCTCTCTCTTTCTCTCTCTCCCTCCCCGCCGGCTCGCTACCTACCTCCTTTCCTACAAATTTTCTTGTTGGGCTTTCGGGCGCATTCCTTGGAAATCCGCTTTACTGTAAAATGAATAAAAAACTAAAAAATAACAGGAGGCCTCTGCCAAGGGGCATGCACCCTCCGCCCCCAGATCCCAAGAGCTGCTCTGCAGGTGGCACATGGCAGAGAGCCTCTCCCACCACCTCTTTGTTTCTGTCACTTACCTTAGTGTGACCCCCGCAGGAGGAGGCACCAGCTAGTAAAAGAGGAGGCACCTAAGTAGTGCCCACCAGGCTTGTCCCCTCACCCCCCCGCCCCCCCCCCACCTACTCCTTTGGCTACGCACAACTTCCACCTTCCAAAGCAGCTGGAATGGCAACGGGAGGCCTGGTGGGGCCAGCATCCTCCCGCGGGCAGCTGCCGGCAGTGACCCATACTCCCCCAGGGAACCCCCCATCCAGCATTCTGACCCTAGACTTGTCAGAGCTCTCAGGCCTGGCCAGGCCCTCCTGGTAACAGTGTCACTCACACAAGGAAGCTCAGACGATGCTGGGAGAGCAAAGAACAGGGAGGAGGAAGGGGGGTGCCAAGCAGAGTGATGGTTAGACAGACAGAGGCATGCTGGAGGGCACACAACCACATGCAAGCCTCAAACACAACAGGGCGGGTGAAGGCAAGGAGGCACAGTGCCTGGCCACAGCACTCACCATCCTCCGTGGGCACATAGACATTCAGGTAGAGGCAATCTTCATTGGGCTCTTGGATGTAAGTGGCGACGATATCCAAGTTGGCAGTGAACCAGACAGGCAGCATGACTTCGGGCACAGCTGTGTGAATGTTCTGGGGGCACACTGGGGGGAAGTGTGTGGCGTTCCGGATGCCCGACCAAGATGGAGGTGGTTCAGGGGGCAGGAACCGTTTCTCGCCGATCGGAGGAGCTGCGTAGGGCACCCCCAGGTACTGGTCCACAGGCCCCAGGATCTCACTGGGCAGTGGTACCCGGGCACCCCTTAGCTTTCCAAAGCGAGTATTGACTGTGGGCGCTGGGGCCTGTGTACTAGCCCTCAGCACCAAGCCAAGGAACCACAGGGTGAGGCACAGGCTCCGGCCAACTGTGGGCTTGGGGCTCAGGGACAGCCAGGGCAGGCCAAGCTGCAGCCACATGTTCTGGGCAGGGGGACTGGCAGGAAAGGCAGATTCCAGGGTCACAGCATCAGCCCAATAGGCAGCCCCTTCATGGCCACACTGACTTGAACCTCAAAACTGAGCTCTTGAGGGACACCTACAGGTGCTGGCCACGTAGAGAGCAGGTCATCCAAGCACCACAGCTTCAGAAAGGAGACGCCCTCAGGGCCAGACAGGCCTGTGGAAAGAGGGAAGCATTCATCATCCGATACAGTGGGGAAGGCTATGGAGTGGGTTTGGGGGGCCCTGCTGGGCTCAGGCTATTCTCCTAGTTAGGAGAAGTTTCGCATGCCCAAGGGTTGAGAGACCCATGGATGATCCCCACTGGCAATCTGAACCATTCTATGTGCCTGGCCATGGTTGGGAAACCCAAGGGGATTGACAGAATGACAGGGGTTGCCACTCCAAATTCCTAATCCCCAACTTGAACTCAGCCGGTGGAGCTCCTGAGGGCCAGCTGGAGCCAGAGTAGCATGTGGTGGCAGAGGTGAGAACTGGAACTAGAGCCAGGTCCCTGGGCATGCTGCAGGAACACTGAGCTCTCTAACCCCAGGACTGGAAAGCCCACACAGGGACCTCTGCCTCAGGGGACAGGATTGTGAACCTCACTCTGGGACTCTGGCATAAGAAGGGAAAGCAGCAAACAGTCAGCGGGTCCCACAGAGATACCCTTCATGCTCAGGTGGGGCAGGGGCAAGGATAGGGGCAGGAGAGCCATTTCTCAAAGTTCCCAGAATCTCCAGTGCCCTTCTGTACATTTCTCTCAGCCCTAACTGCTCCCAAAACCTTAATTAAGCCTTGATCATCGCTGTCAGCTAGCTCTATGTCACATGGAATGTCAGAACTAAGGCAGAAACCCTTCTGCCTAGCACCCAAGGCATTGCTGATGCTCAGCCAGTGGAAAACAAACAGAGGAGTGTGGGGAACACACTCTCAGAGACTCACACTTTGAGACTCACAAAGTCTCAAAGAGGAAGTAAGAGACCAAGCCAGATAATAATACTATAATATTCACTCACAGAGACATACATTCCAAACCCACAGAGATTCCCTCATATAGTGCCACATTCTGAGACAGAGAGTGCCACCCAGCCAGAGACTTACTAAGATACAATCACACACACTACTCAGGTAAACATCCAGACACATGCAGCATGATGGTGACACATAGGTAGAGACAGAAACAGGAATAGCAACACAATTGCCACAGGCCTTCTGACACACAGGTACAGTCCACACATATCCACAGGTACACACAGACACTCGTGCATGGACACACACACACATACACACACACACACACACACACACACACACACACACAAAATTTCCTTTTCCCCTCATTTCTCCCAATTTCCAAGATTGTGGGCCTTCTCCTTTAAGACTTTCAGAACTGCCTGAAGGGGTGGGGGAGGGGGATTGGGAACGCCCAGCCATTCGCCACCTCCCACCTCCGAGAGGGGGGGGAGAGAGAGAAAGAGAGAGAGAGAGAGAGAGAGAGAGAGAGAGAGGAGAAGGTGGATGGAGGGAGGGGGCTCAGACGAAATGGGGAGCAAAATATGGGGGGTTATGTTCCAGCCACTGCCCATAATGACCCGGGGTTGGGGAGGAGGGGCAGGAGAGAAAGAAGGGATAGGAGTAGGGAGGTGGGGCAGGAGCAAGTGTGTGTGTGTGTGTGTGTGTGTGTGTGTGTGTGTGTGTGTGTAGGGGGGGTATAGTCCACAGCTGAGTTCACACAATCCCCCCATTCACTGTCTCCATGGCAACTCTGGGGCACAGACCGCTCATTCACACTGCTTCCCCACCAACACCCACCCCCAGGATTAACCCTCTCGGTGCCGCCCCTCCCCACAAATTCCATTAACCCTTTTGGGATGCTTCCCTCTCCAGCACCCCTTTGGTGCCAAATGCCGGTCCCCTTTGAGTCAATTCCCTGCAGTCCCTCCCCCCGTGAACACTTAGACAAATCGACCCCCAAATGCCCTCTGTACCCTAAAACCCACAGTAAGTCCCCAAGGCCAAGATCTTCATCCTGGTCCAACTTCCAATTTGGAAGAAGACAAGGAGAGGTGGCAATGCCAGGGATTAGAATGGCATCTGGGGGTACTTTTATGCTGGAGCAGTATTGGGTGAGGGGCATTGTACAGGAATGCACTGGTATTGTAAACCACAGGATTGGGGGCTATGAGGGCTCGGAAGGGAATTAAAGGATGGAGCTGCATTGGAATGGGGAGGATAGGATAAAGGCCTCTGTTAGGAGGGGGGCTGCAGAGTGGGGGAGGGAGCCCGGCTGTGAGATGCTTTGATGGAAGAGGGATGGGGTTGCACTGCGGGGGTGGGGGGGTGGCAATGTGCATTATAAGAATGGGGGTGGGGGCCCTCAGTAGGGGTATTTTGATGAGCATTCAGGCGGGTTGTGGAAATCGAGGGACCATGGACTGGGCGATGACAGGGATGTGAGCTTCAGAGAAGAGGTGAAGGAGAGGAGTGGGGGGAGGATTGGGGTGTCAGGGTTGCCTATGATAGAAAACATGGGGTTGAGGATGGGGAGCACCGGCTGGGGAGTGGAGGAGCCCGGTTGGGAGGGGATAGGATAGGGCAAGGTATGGACAGCTAAAGAATGAGAGACCGGGGCAGTCGGCCTCACCTGTTCCCCTGGCTGTTGCAAGCGACTGAACCGGGCCTCGGACCACCCATATCGCCTCCAGGCCAAGGGCTCCGCACCCGAATCCCGAGATCTGCTCTCTAGCTGCTTGGCTGCTGTGCCCGCGCACCAAGGGGGCGCGCTGCGCGTGCCCGGACACGGGGGGGCGCGGTCCCTGCCATTAACTCCTTTTGTGCCAGAGATGGCTCAAGTACTGGGGCATGGCCCAATTCCTCCCCTCATCAAGCACACACTGCTCATGAAATCCCTCTTCCTCGCACACACCCCCTTTGTCCCTAACAGGAAATCTTCCAGGGCAGCTAGTCCAGACTTTACCTGCAAAGCTTGAGAACTTGAAACGGTGGTAGAAACTGAGGCACTGCTTGCAGGAAACCCCAATCATACATCATGGACAGGCCTCCACCTCAGCATCCCTCACCTCTCAGCACTATTCAAGTAGCACCAGTGAGGGGCACTTTGCTCTCATCCTGTCCCTCTCAAAGGTCATTGTTCTTTTTTTGCTGCTTGTGCGGGGCATGTCAGCCTCAGACTGCCAGGGTCTCTCCTCTCTAGATCCGGCTTTGTGTTCCTGTATGTAGCGCACCTGTCCAGTTTATTTAGTCCCTGTACCCAAAGTCCCCCCGAGTGTCCCTTATCCCAGCCATCTCTACCCCTGTATCTCTTTAGAACAGTGGTCGCCAACCTTTCGGACCTCACGGGACACCAGTAGTGATCCGTGGACCGCTTTAGAATGTTCAGCAGAAGCTTCAGTCCTGTTTGTTTTTGCCCTATCAGAGAGTTCCATTCATTGAGCACAAAACTCTTAAGTGCCATACTTTGTGGACCTTAAAGAGGGAGTTCATTTAAAAAAATATATTTTATTGATTTTTTACAGAAAGGGAGAGAGAGAGAGCTAGAAACATCGATGAGAGAGAAACATCAACCACCTGCCTCTTGCACACCCCCTACCGGGGATGTGCCCGCAACCAATATACATGCCCTTGACCAGGATCGAACCTGGGACTTTTCAGTCCACAGATCGACGCTCTACCACTGAGCCAAACCGGTTTCGGCGGGAATTCATTTTTTTATATTTTACAACTTGGGTATGGATTGGTGCTCCTGGTTTTACCAGCCCACTCGACACTTGCCAGTGATACAGTGCAAATATGACCTAGATGTCATCCTGAAATCATCAAATCGTCTTGTACTGCCCACCCACACAGAAAGGGCTAGTCCTCTTCTAGCCCCAGGTGGGCAACCAGGGGACTCCATTGTAGTAAACCAGTTGACTCTCCCGGATGGCATTTGATCTAGGGCCCCAAAACTGAAAGCAAGGGGCCTGGCCCCTATGGTGCAGTGGTTGAGCATCGATCTATAAATCAGGAAGTCCTGGTTCAATTCCTGGTCAGGGCACATGCCTGGGCTGTGGGCTCGATCCCCAGTGTAGGAAGCAGCTGATCAACAAGTGACTCTCTCTCATCATTGATGTTTCTATCCCTCTTTCCTTCTCCCTAAATCTCTGAAATCAACAAAAATGTATTTAAGTGAACAAAAACAAACCTGAAGGCAAAGGGGCTGAGAATGGCCCTGCATAGTATCAATTGAGACTCTGCAGCAGATTTTATATCTACTTTAAAATGGGAGTGACCAACAGTTACCCTGGGTAATGGCCAAGGTGAGTAGTGTAAAAGCAAGCAGTTCCAGCAACAGAGCAGAGAAAGAAAAGGGCGCTTCCTTTTACTGGTGTCTCTTCCTCCTGGAACCACGCCAGACTTCCGCCACCTATGCAAAGGTGACACTTGCTAATGCAGAGCAATTCTTCATCCCCAAAATGTGAATCTCAGGGGAGATTTCTGTCGAGGATACCACTTGGCGCCTGATGGAGACCACAAAAAAGTGGCAAAATGTATAGGCAGCGTCTGTCACCCCCTCCACTTTGAAGCTTGTTCAAAACTCAGCATGTGGATGAGTGGAAGGAGAATCAGGTTCCATTGATTTTTTTCCCCCTCTGGCTCCTTCCCAATCCCAATGGTACATCCACCATGAAGGAAAGTTACCCAGAAGCTGTATCATCTAGCTGAGAACATAAGCTGCCCTTTCTTAAGAGACTAAGGGCTCAAACCTTAATATGTTGCCAGGATGGAGAAGTAAAGAGAGGGTAGCAATCCAATTCAACTGAGAAATTTAGGGGAGAGAAAGTAAACAGGGGAAATGATCTGAACAGAATGAAGGCTCTAACTTGTCCATCCAGCCTCCACTACTCTCCCAAGGGCCCGCCCTTCCCAGATATGCAAAACTCACACGTGCCCTTTGCAAAGAAGCTCTGTGTATT